ACAGGCCCTTGTAAAAAGTCCCCCCCAGCTTCCTTGTAGCCCCTTCAGGCACTGGAAGGTGCTCTAAGGTCTCCCCGGAGCCTTCTCTTCTCCAGGCTGAACAAGCCCAACTCTCTCAGCCTGTCCCCATAGCAGAGGGGCTCCAGCCCTCGGAGCATCTTCGTGGCCTCCTCTGGACTCTTGATGTACACTGCACCCTGTTTATTCCATGTTTTCTGGGGGCAAAAGCCCTTTGAGTTCCCACCCCTGGAGTCCTCTGGGCTGATGTACAGTATGTTTATTGTTTATTACAGTACTAGTATGTTTATTGTTTGCTGTGAGAGGTCTCCTGGTTTACAGCACAGCGTTTCCACTCTCCAGCCACTTGGTACCCGAAGGAGACCCCATCTGCTGATGGCTCTAGCAGATGCCTCTTTTCTGCTGCCCAGTTAACGGTATCCAGGCTCCTGCCCAGTCCAGGAAAGGATGCTGACAATATCTGTTTAGCAGTTAAGCAAGTTTTTAACTACCTAAACAATATGTGCATATTGTTTGAGCCATAAAAAATGGAGGGATAGGAGTACATCAGTGAAATTTATTATCAGTACACATGAACTGAAACTATCTCAACTTCACTGTCCAAGCTGAGACAAAAGCCGGAAGGATGCAACAAACATGATGAGTGACAAGGGAATAGGATTTTTTTTTTTTCCTCCTCTCTTAACCAACACAGATGTCAGCAGCAGCAAAGATTTAAAAGATTCTGTTCACAACATACAGTTTTAAAATCAATAGTCTCTTCTTTTTCTTGAATTCAGTAGCTTTCCCTTTCAAAAACTCTATTCTGGGAAGCAAATGATCACCAAGTGGTCTGTGGTAACACTACTAACTGGCAGTGAAGGGGTCCTATCCTAGCAAGGACAGGCTGGAGAAGAGAGTGAGAACCGGGAGGGTTTTTCGTTTTCGCATTCTTCAGCTCGCTTTGTTTACTCACCGCCTGCAGGAAGGCTGCGGTGCCAAGTGCCAAGATTTTTTTCCTCTTTCACACATACACAAAATGTTGTAAAAAAAAAAAAAAAAAAAAAAAAAAGTCTGTGTTTGCTTTCTGCTAGTTAAAAAAATGGACACACTTTCGAAGCGGAGAATAGAAAGTTTTCTCTAACACCAGTCCATGTGCTCCAAATGGAAGCACAGGGGGTTTTTTGCTCTTCGTACTAGGTGCGACCGCGCTGCTCACAACTAGTATACCTGCTACCAGCCAGTGGGTGCTCACGTATCGAGGTATTTCTCTGCCTAGGGCTGAAGTTGCAGCTGACCAACAGAAAGCTGCCAGGAGCTCGTACCCTCTCTGATGGTGCAGGCAGCAGCTTCGCACGTCGCTTTGTTCAGGTCCTCCGTAGCGCCGGGAGCGGCGGAGGCCTCGAGCTGTACCCGGCGGCAGGAGGGCAGGGGGCCTAGCGCCATTCTTCAGCCCACCGCTGCCACTCCGACCGACAGCTCTTTCCAGGGACGCAAAGCTTGCCTTCTGGCACGAGCAAACATCCAAAGCTGAACTGGATGCTTTGGAAGCAGAGATTTTTTTTCTGTGCCTCTTGATGTGATCCTGCTTGGATTGCGGACCCTCACCTGACGTAACATAAGGTGTCACTGCTTTGGATCTGTCTGGTATAGGAGGTTATAAATCTTGGAAAGCCTTTACCAGCATGCTCTTTTGGGAATGTAGATTGTCGGTGCACATCTTGCAGGTACTGTTTTTGCCTGGGGGCCTGCAGATGGCAGGGCCACTTTACCCAGACCAGCGCTGCCTCCCCCACTCCCCCAGCTTCTCATGAGCAAAGTCTTTGCCAGGCCACTGAAGGTTTAGCCCACAGCTGTTTTTTCCCTGTGGTCTTTCTTCCAGGGCGAGTCACCCAGCAGGTCTTCAGGGGGGTTGGAAGTGAGATGAGGAACTGATAAATGAGCAGGTCTGGGTCAGCATTTAGGGGACCCTTCAAGCAAGGGAATAGCGGAGTAAAGACGTTGTGGGGGGAGAAAGGGAGCTGCATGTCTCACTTGGGCTGTTAAAACCTACCTACCTTACTGCTGTTTGCGCAGAGGAACTGCAGTCTTCCCCAGCCTGTGTAGCCCCATGGCAGCCTGTGCTTCCGTCTGCTCCTGGCTCTTGTCACTTCCCAGGGAGTGCCCACACCATGGTGGGACACGGGAGGAAAAGTCTCACTGGAGTGGCGAGGGCATGCGTATAATATTGCATAGTGGCCCGTGTGATATATCGTGCCGACTGGCGAGCCTGCATGCTGTCCCTGCAGCCGGTGAAAGGCCACCCAAGGAAAGAAGAGGTCGTTCCTGTAGGAAATGCTACCGGAGCACACGCTCTGGTTTCCAAACCTCACGTGCGGTCGATGCAGGACGCTCAGCCCCACAGTGTTACTGTGCTCTTGTTGTGGGTGGCCAAGCGGCCCGCGTGTTTTGTTGGGTTTTTAAAACGTTTTATTTCACCTTTGTTTTGCGTAGATTCATTTGAATGCTGGCAAAAGTGCCTGGAGACATAGGAATGCGCTTTAGACAAAGCCAATGCTGTAAGTAGTGTCCGAGTAAGCTGTAGCACAGAGTCTTGCAAGTGCTTTTGCTGGTGGCTCTCTTGCAGGAGGATACAGCAGTTATCATATTCCTGGGAACTAGACCCTCTCTGTTTTCCTGTTTCTTGAGGAAGGGGTGCTTTTTACTACAGTTGCGGTGAGTTTAAATAACGACATCTGTATGCTGAAATTGCTTTTTGCACTGTTTCTCCTTTTGAAACTCTTAAGGTAACGTTTGATTACAATGGAGAGCTGCAGTGATGGAAACATCCATAAATTCAGCGTGTTATGGTGACTGGCTAACACCACTTTGCTATGTAGATAATCATTAAAAAGGAGATGACCAAAGGTCATTTTCTGGGGCTGGAGAAAATTAAGTTACGACAGGGGATGTTAAGAGCTGGGGTTGTACGGGTACCCCAAGAGACATTTCAGAAGTGACTTTAAATCTGTGTGCAAATGTCTTGGGGGGGTAGGGCAGAAATGCCAGCTATTGCAGGGCTTTTTAATCTAGCGAGCAAGGCACAGAACAGCCATGGTGGAAGATTAACAAAGTTCAAAAATAAAATTAGAGACCAGGCATACTTTTTGAGCAGTGTTTACTGATGATAAATGCGCTCATCTGATGTTCTCTTCTGGCCCTGTGAACCAGGGATGTCTGCAGTGAAAATTGATGCCTTACAGTCTTCTAGGCCTCTTTTAAATTTTAATATAAAAAGGGAGTTGGAGTCCATAGAAGGAAGAACTTGTCTGACTTCGAGATCTGAACAATACTGTATTAGTGCACACAGTTAATTAAACTTCCCAACAACGCTACAGAGGAAAATCTCCATTCTGTTCCTCAGAGAGGTGGGCAAACTGACAGCAGACCTTAAATCCTCTAGGGAGCTCTCAGCAGCAGCAGCTAGAGCTCGTTGTTTCTACCTGAAGACTAGTTATACATCATACAGACACATGACCTAACAGGTTCCGCACCCGCCTGCAGGCTTCCCGGGCTGTCGCCGGCTGCCTGCCTGCCGCTCAGTAGGTTGCTATGTACGGGGGAGTATGTGGACTTCAAGAAGCTGAAGGAAGGAAGTTGTCCTCTAAGTAGGAAGGCTGCGTTTTTGAGAATAGGGACTGCCACAAACCGGGACTGCGTTTCTCTGCTGGGGGGGGGAGGAAATGTTTTGCATAATTGAAATAGTTTGTAGTAGGGAAGGAGAGTTCAAAATCCACTTCAAGGTCACGTGTACCCAAAATATGCAGAGTCCTCCGCTCAAAATGATGCCTTTTTAAAACAAGTGTACTGAGGTTATTTCAGTCCTGATCACCATGCTCAGTCTCTCGATAATCTAACCCTGTTATCTGGATCCTTGCAATGTCGTGACTCACCAGCTAATGATGACCGTGTCACACGCGTTCATCAGTCGTTGCTTTTTATGATACGGAAATTGTGAACTCCCAGTACAACTTAATCTTCAACATGTCTCTTCCCATTTTTGTTAATTCACCTGCAGATTAACTCTTAAAATACAGTATCTTCTCTTCTGACAATGTCAAGTTGTTTCTTGCAATAGAAAGTTGCCCAAGGTGCAGTAAAAGGCCTGGAAGTGTCTGATGAAATGGTTGCTGTCCCCCCAACCAAGAACAAAGTGTGTTCGTTACAAAAAAAAGATGGCAATAATGGAAAATTAAAATAATATATATAAAGGTTCTAGCCTAGTTTTAGCTTGTTTGCAGAAAAACAATGGGCCCTGTGGATAAAGGAGAGGGGAAATGCGAGTTTCCCAAACTTTATTCTATGTTTCCAGATCGTGCTCTTGTCCCTTCCCGTTTAGTGTCTGCTTCCCGCAGCCCTGTGCTGCGGGTAGCTTGAAACGGCCTCTGGCTTGGCACACGTTGCGTGAGTAGGAGCCAGACGTCAGCCCAACACGTGGCGCCTGCACGGGCTGCTGCTGCCGCGGTGTGTGTTTATGGACTGGGCACGGCCTGTGGAGCAGGCCAAGGGGTGCAGGATTTGGTTCTTCTGGCCTTAGCTGTCTGAAAGTTGGCTGTCTCCAGTGAAGCTGGTGAGGAGTTGTTTCTCTACAGTTAATAGAGAGCAGTGTGCACCTCGAGAGGATAACTCTTCCCAGATACCTTAGATGCTTATCTTAGGATGGCATGAATTGCTTTCTAGAGCTGCCTCTTCTCCACTGACTGTAAAGGGAGCAAAGGATGGTTGACCCAAGCTTCAGCAGCTAACTTTAGGTGGCTGAACTGGGGGATATAGACTGCTACCTGGAGGACCTCAATAAAAAGTAAGAGTCAAGATCGTATGAGCAGTTGCAAGGTAAGGGGTCCCCGAGATCCAATATGAGCTTCACAGCTGATTTGCTGGATGAGCTGGTGGCAGCAGTGGTGGTACTGGTGGCATCCTTCTGCTGGAGAACACCAATCTGACTGTGCTCTTTTTTTTTTTATTCCATCTCTGAAGGTCGGCATTGTGAGGTCCATCAGATGATTGGAAACTACATGTGGGACCAAAAGACAAATCTATCTTTTGATATTGGTGTGAATAAAGAAAGCCTGCTGCCTCTATGGTGGGATGGATCCGAGCCTTTGTGGGTCACTATGATGAAACAGAAGAAGAACGTTTTCATGTACTACTGGCCAGGTTAGTATGTCAAATATTGCTAGCATCTTAACAGTGCACCTTCACATCTAAGCACTCCATACGCTGTAGGATGGCTCTTCAATATGCTGAAATACAAACAAGAACGATGTATATTTTACTGATCCACATAGAAACGAATTCTCTTTTCTTAGGCCATGACAATTTACATAGGTATAGAAAAAAGAAGACTGAAGTCTCACTGGAGGTAGCTTTCCACCAAATGTACCCTCAAGGGGCATGCTGGCTTGCAGAGCACCCCCTTCTCCACCAACTGCTTGCTTCTTCTACCTACCTGTGGCTTCTGCTGTGCCAAATGGTTGCTCCATGAATGGTTCATGGAGCAACGCTTTAGACCATGTCACTGATCAAAGTTAAACAGTAACCATCCTCTCCCACTGCTCATTTGGTTTTAACCTGGAAATCAGTAGCTGAGAGTTGAAGATGATCTGTTCTGTGGGCACAGCAAAATCCAGCTGAAAGCAAAGCATCCTTTGGTGAGCTGGAGTGAGGACTCTTGTCCTCATTCATCATTAACTCAGCTGAGGTCCCAGTTGCTCTGAGCCTGAGCCATTCATTTGGAGGGACTTGGCCTTTCCATTCCTTGTCTGTTGGGTGTTGGACGACTGAAATCACTAGAGATATATAAAAACAAGTCCTTTAACAAATAGGAGTATGCCCTTAGGCTGTCCATTTAGGGACCCACGTGGAAATAAGTGTTCCAGCTATGCAGCCAGACCAAATCCCTTGCAAGGTACCCGGCTTCTCAACTTCTTTTAACTCTGCTACCTATGCAGTATGCAAATATCCTCATATGTGCAACTGCAGGCTGGAGGACCACATGTTGGAAGAGCTGTACCGAATGCAGCCAGTGCTAGTGGGTAGGGCAGCGGCATCTGACTCACGCCGTGGGCGCTCTTCCCATGCGATGTGGCTAATGGCATCCCAGAAAAAAGGCCTCAGTTCTCAGGGAAGGGAAGAAAGAGTGAACCAAGATGAAAAACACTGGAAAGCCATCCAGAGTGTTCCTACAGTACTGAAGAGCGAAAAGATCTGAGGGTGACAGTATTGCCCCATGGACTCAAAGGCAGTCTGAGGGACTGGAATTGCAGAGTAGCTTCCCATGCGATGTGGCTAATGGCATCCCAGAAAAAAGGCCTCAGTTCTCAGGGAAGGGAAGAAAGAGTGAACCAAGATGAAAAACACTGGAAAGCCATCCAGAGTGTTCCTACAGTACTGAAGAGCGAAAAGATCTGAGGGTGACAGTATTGCCCCATGGACTCAAAGGCAGTCTGAGGGACTGGAATTGCAGAGTAGATATAACAGTTTGGAGCAGCACACCAAAAAAAAGCTGCTTCTTACTGGAGAGTACCCAAGTGACCTCACAGCAATGCAAACAGTAGGATATAGAAATTACACACAAATGTAGAAATTCTTCTAAAGGTTTACAAAAAGATCTGTTTCTGTAGACTATTGATTTTGTACTAATAATTATGTACTGAATAGATGGAACAGTCTACAGAGGGCTACTGAAATCCAAAGGGACAGTATCACTTTCCGTTAAATGCCTTCGGACTTCGCCTAGCTCCTTCATGTTGCCCTTTGAGCAGTGCCTCCCAGGGCAAAGACGTGTGAGGTGTGTATGTACGTGTCCCTGTATGCACGTATGCACCCTTTGCGCTTACCCATCTACCATTTCCAGTGGAAAACTGCAAAGAACAGCAGAGCCTCTTTTTTTCCAGTGCCGAGTATGTGTACTGGCTCTCTTACCACACAGCGGGGGGATTTGTGCCCGGCTGATGCCAGTGGGAGTTTTTGCATAGGTCCGTAATTTAGCTGTGGATTGTGACGTGTACATCCGTCTGTCATCAGTTATTTATCTGTGACTGACGACCTTTGGCAAAGTCATCAGTGCCTCAGTTCAGCCAATTCTTAAGCACATGCTTTATATTTAAGGGTGTTCACAGTCTCAAAGGACACATTGGCCATACAGGGTCAGGCACAGGGCAGGAGGCAGGGTCAAACGTGGAACTATTGAACTAAAACACAGGGCAGCCACGCCACAGTGGGAGTCCAGGTGTAACTGGAATAAATAGAAGTCACCCCAAAAGCAATAGTATATATTTATTATGTTCTCCCCATATGATTTTTTGGAACTGTTTTCTGGTTCCATAGGATGGATGTAATCTTTTTTTCTAGATTTATTATTTTAAAGCTTTAATTCTTTAAAAGACATTTGACTGGGGAGCATTGCCAAGCCACGAAAAGAAAAAATAAGGGTTTAATAACCAGTGGGAGTGGAGGTCCCACAGACATTCGCACTATGATCTGCTATTAGTGATTAACTTTCCAGCCTGAGGATATACTGCTGCTTAGCAATGGATCTTGTAAATCTGATAAAGATCCAAACAGGAAAAGTTTGGGAAACTGTTAATACGAAGAGCAATGTACAGCCAAATTCATCACACTTTGTTCTGGAAGGTGCTGTTTTCTCTCTAGGGAGTGGCGAAGACAAATGAGACCCATCAAATGTGGGAGAAACACGTTGCGAGTGCCAGGGAGCTGATTCCTTGGGTTAACTTACACCATTTCTGCCATTTCCTCCTCAGAGCCAGTTCCAAGCTTCCTAAAGTCTGAGCCCAAAATCTGCTGCTCTTCCCTATATTCCTCTCTCATGCGTATTCAGTGTTTAAAGGAAGAAAAACCAGACCCAAGCGGACAGGGACGCAGAGCAGGAGGGCTGCTGGATGCCAACACCCGTCCATCACAGCTTTTCTGTGAGTCCAGCATAAACATGGCAAAGGCAACTCCTGAGCAGAATCCATCTGAGCTCTCCTGCCTCTAGCAGCGGAGGAGCCAAAATACCACTGTGCCAGGGGTCCCAGTGCCAAAACGTTAAGCACTTGGCCTGCAGGGACGTTTTTCTCCTTTCTTCACAGCATTTATTTGGCAGTTTCTGCTCTTCCAGGCATTCCTGGGGAAACAGTCATGTATCCCCTGACCGTTTGCAAGTAAAACTCAACAGCTAAGGCCACACTTGGGGTGAAATGCACAGCCTCGTGCCCAGGTTGCCTCTCTGAAGCACCGCTGCTCCCGAGGATGGAGAAGCCCCAGGGGAGTGTGAGAGCATCCCGGCAGTACCACCAAAGTCAAAGCTTTATATCGCTCCCCACGCTCATCCTGTGTTTTTCAGCAGCCTATGCAACTGCTTCAGTTGCAGTGCAGTGACATCTCTTCTCAACACTGAAATGAGACAAAGGGGTAAAAAAAGACTCTAAACCCAACCTTTCACCATTTAAACACAACATTTACCAGACCGTGGAGCTAGTCTGGAAAGTTTTCAAAACTTTCTGTTATGACGTGAAGTGTCCAGCTGCTAAATCAGTGTTTAGAAATGCAATTTAAAGCTGGCAGAGGTTCAGCTCGGCGTGTCAGATTCGTAAAGAGGAGTCTATATATCACTGCAAAAGCAGTCCTTATTCCTGCTCCAGTAGTTCATGCTTTTATGTCATTTTTTGTCATACAAAACTGTGCAGAAAGGTATCTAACATTACATCTTAGTAAATGCCACTCATCTATTTGTAGTTTAACCAAGAAAAACTTAACGTTCCCTTTGTCTGGCTTGCAGTCTTTTTAAATATCCTATCCCATAATATTTAAATAAGAAAGTTTACCATCCGTCCTGGTCTCTACCAAAATGAAATTTAAATATTAAAGGGTCTTCATGACCAGCATGTTGGAATTGTAACAAGCCTTAACGTCAAAAATCCAGTTTTAAGTTCTGTTCATCACAGAAGCTAAAAAAGGAAGCTCTTGTTATCTAAGCAGCCTGAATATTCAGTCTTCCTGCCAATGAACTTCACACTTGAAGATCAGTATTTAGTGGCCAGAATGATTTCTAATTGTTGGTGCCTCTGTAGTCTTTTGCGTCGTGCTCATCACTTGACAGTCTAGAATTAGCAAAGGTATCTGAGCAACTGAAATATCCCAGATCCCCAAGATGTTAATGCTTCCGGTTGTAATTATCTCGTGAATAATTCTGAGGAATGATATCTGAGAAAATTATAACCTGATGTCAGTATCTGAAGAGGAAAAAAGAGGCTAAAGCATCATATTAGTCATTGCCTGTGAGCAGTCATCCACATGAACTGAAATACTGAGCATTTCCAACACGTTCCCAAACGCATCCTTAACTTCTTGCCTGGCTTTGGAGCCAGTCTTTTCCCAGACTCAAGTGTCAGAGGAGAAGTTGTCTCTGACATTCCAGTTCAGTCTTGGAATAAAGTCAACGGAGGATTCCTGCGTCACCTCTAGCATCTGAGGCAGCTGAAACCCTTTGTTTTGCTGATAGTAGCACCCAGGACATCGTACAAACGACTGAAGCTGCATGCTGGTGAGGGCTCTGGCCTCCTGGAGATGACTTCAGGTCATTCATGGAATACAGTTCTTTGAAGATTAGGTCTCTGTCTGTGTTGCACAGTGTAATTTCTCAAAGGCGCTGGGTGCAGATGTATAGTTGTTTTACTGTGGGACCGTATGGAGAGACAGTTCTTGTCAAGTAAGCTGCAGGCTGTTCATCCCGGTTGCAGATTAGGTTTGTGGTGGAGAGAGAAACACTAAAGCATCTCCATGCAGAGAGGGGAGGATTAAGTCATATAAATTTTGGGGCAACAGGAGAAGAATGAAAAGTGAGCACCATCGTGCACTCCCACAATTTTTATAAAAACAAATATTACATAGAGGTTCAAAATTACATAGATGTGTTTTTACAGGAAAGTAAATCAGTTGACTACATTTTCTGTGTATTATTCCAAATAATTAGTTCTTACAAACAATTTATCATGCTAGATGGGGTCCCTTGAAACACACAAAGAATGTGGAGACCTGAGAGCTGCTACCATGGACCGCTGGGTGAAGAGACCGAATCTGTCATGCGTACTAGGGCTCTTGAACAGAAAGGGTAACCTCCATCAAGCCTTCTGCAAATCACTGAAGGGTTTTTTTAAATTGCCTAAGCTTAAATATTGAAGTTTTTCTAACCTGTCACGGTACTCCCGAGAAGTCACGATGAGAAGTCTCATAGCCTGACTTCTCACGATGAGAAGTCTCATAGCCAGCTCAGCCTGCAAGCGGTGTGCTGTTCCCAGTGTCCCCGTATTGCACCTCAGCGGTGTGGACTCACTCAGGCTGAGATGGAAGATACCGACAAATTCTCTTTACTGCCTGTCCCAGGAAGCAAACCACTGTAAATCACCCCTGATTTACAAGCAGCTCTGCTTGCTCTAGTGCCCTCTCCGCACTTACACCTCCTGCACCACCTTCTTCCCCCGCAAGCAATGAGTCAACTTAAGACAGTACTTAATGCCTATTCCTTTCATCCCAAAGGAGAAGCAAAGTGACCCAAATATAGGCAGATTCAGGCTATGGCTTAGACTTGCCTTTATTACCTGACCATATTGCTCTACACGGAGGCCATTTTGCAAAATTTCTTTTTTTTGTTTTTCTTGTGCCCCAGGAACACACCAGAAAATGCCTAACTGTGATGGGAGGACTCTGGGGTTCTTGCAAATAATTTGCATGAATCTAGTGTTTCTGAAAGCACAGTTCTTTAAAATATTAATGTTATTCAGCAGCATAGTAACCGGAGAGAGAAAGGGCAAAAAAACCCACAAAAACATGTTTTTGAGTTTTCAGGGCCGTGTTCTCCTGTAGGATTTCTTGCCATAAATTTTTGGGCCATAAAACGGGATGTATTTTGCAAGGAAGGCTGCAAGTTACCAAGAGAGTTAATTGGTTTATACTGTTTTAATAAGACCTCCTGGGAAATAGATTTAATAGTGGAGTGCCAGTATCACATAATAAAATGCAGTTTATAGAGGATATTACGACGTATATTTCCAGCGTGTCTAACTGGAAAATATTTGCTGAACTTTCAGGGAACAATATCTAAATCTATTATGTTGGAAGCCTGGAAATGAGGCTATGTGGCCGCAGTCGTTAAAATGAAAACAAGCTAGCGATTTAGGTGGAAAAACCATCTGCCACAAGGGAATCGGGAGTTTTATTGTGGGAAGGTCATGCAGAGACCTTCCTTTTACTGAGGGAAATAAAAGGATCGAATATATGGTTTGCTACGAGCCCTCATCAAACCAACCTCTCTCCCCTTTTCCTTTCCCAACCACAAGGTTTCCTGCAGGGAAGGTGTAAGGTAAGTAATGTCACAGGGAATTTACAAACGTGGACTCGGACCTCATGGTGTGGGGGCTGTGATCACGGTGAAACAGCGGCCCTTACCACATTCTTTGTTTGTAGGTTGTGAGGTCGAAATCCTTGGAGTCAGGCCAAGTTATTGCCGCGAGTACTTCAGTGTCCCAACAGACAAAAACTTTGCGGATGCCATCAGGGATGCTCTCGAGGCTTTGCGGTAAGTCACCAAGCTTCTGCGGCGTGGGGTTTCCTCTCTCAAGGATGAGTATTTGGGTTTACCATCAGCTTTGCTGTAGGGCGATTTTTGGGATTGGATCCCACGTAGGAAGGTGGAGCCTGAGACTAGTTTACAATGCAGTCATAGAAACATGACCATTACAGAAATAGGCTCTTACATTAAGATTGGAGGGAAAGGTGTGCTCCTCTTTTCATGTGTAGGTTACAACACAGAGGAGACATTCTGACTTACTGTTTTTAATTTGCTCTTTCAAACAACTTCAAGATCTGTGAGTATCTGTCTGCTGCAAGGGCAGACTTTCAAATGCTTTGATTTAGAGACAGAGGTCCTGGGAACTAGGAAATTCAGAAATTCTCCTTCAGTCACTTGTTCACAAGACCAATGCTTTGGCTCCTTCTGCACTTTAGAACATCTCAGGCACAGTGATTTTGGAGCTGGCATTCCAAATATGGGAATGGAATGGAATAGAATAGAATATTCAGTTGGAAGAGACCTCTAATAGTCTTATGGTCCAACAAATGGGAATATAACCAGCTCCTAGGAAAAATGTATGCTCCATCCCCAGCTTTCCATTCCACCATCTCTCATCCAGATGTTAACAAAGGACAGTTCCATGTACCTTGTAAAATCAGGGAAGATTGCACCGCCATGTGCAGAGCCAATGCCTTACCTTAGCTATTACTAAGCTTCCTCTTTCAAAACCTTGTGGCTTCCATGATTTATCCAATCCTAGGATGCACTTCTAATTTGCTACTTGCCGACTGCCATAGAAATTTGAATCTGAAGAGTTTCATGCTCAAATGCTGAGTGTTGCTTGTCCTTGACATGAAGGCTCCAGACCGATGGGAGTGCGGCTGGATGAGATGCTGCTCCCAGCTGCACGCCGGGTGCTGCTGCACAGATGCTCACAGATCACAGTGTCGTTTACAGCATGGGGCTTAGGGGGAAGCTCTTTCCAAACATGCGAGACGTTTGATCCTGAGAAGATTTAGCTTATATTTTATGAAAGTTATCCGCATGTGACATGAGGAGGCCATACATGCCGTAGGAGGCTTTCTAGGGCTTCTGCAACACTTCTAATTCAGTAAATAAAGAAGGGAATGGTAAACTGAATACAAACACCAGCTCTGACTTCTGGTGGAAAGCCAGAATTAACATGGAGAGCTTTCTGATTGAGTATCATTTGGGGATGGGTGATATCTTGAAGCTTCCTGTCTGGTTGCTATGAAGCAAGGTGCATAAAGCTGCTCAGGATGGGTTGCAGCTTTGTCGTTGTGAACGTGATTAAAAGAGAGGCACAAACTGTTGAAAGCTCCAGCCCTTCAAGCTGCCCTTTAAGGTAGCTGGAGCCCAGTGAAAACATTTAAATAGCTAATTCACCCCGAGTCACAAGGGTGGTGCTTGCTGTTGCTTTTGGTGGAGAAGAAGAAAAGGGCAGGGACACAAGAGGGTCGGTGGGGCAGCTCGCTGGAGGTGGAAGCTGGCAGTTTCAAGAAAAGAGCAAATGCCTGCCACCACGATGTCTGCAGTGACCAGCCTTCTGAAGAGCCCAAATCCTACAGATCCTGCTGGAGCTGCGGGAGGTCCAGTCTCTGGTGTCCATTTACTCACCATCCCCTCTTGAATTTCTGTCTGGGTTCCTTTCCTTTAAACTAAGTGTCACGTCTGCAGCAGGGCAGGAAACAGGAAAAGGGAACGATCGTCGATAAAATGAAGAATAAATTGTGGGTGTAAATACTGCAGGGACTTCCAGTAAGAAAGAGGGGTAGAGAATGAACAAAGAAAACAGGTAAGGTTTCCTTATCTTGTCTCTCACTTATTTCTCCCATCATTCGTTCTTTCGTCCTTTAAAATTCAGCAAGCAATTTTCAGTGCCGCTGCGCCAGCCCATAAGAAGTAAAGTCTCTGAAATGCCTCTGTTGTAGGTGTATTCATTTAGCAGGAGTTGGCATCTCTGGGTAGAAGAGTCTTCAGCTGCGTTTTATTGTCATCCCCATCTTTTGCAAGAGCTTCTGACTCCTGATGCTGCTCAGAGGCTGGCAAATCCAGCATGTTGCCTTTCCACACCCCACCTAATAGAAAAAGCCCATTAGGCTGAGGCTGGTGCTGGCTTTATGCGGGAAAACAGCCTGTGGCAAGGGCAGTCTGTTGCCTGGAGCAGTGCCTTGTTCAGCTGTCCTAATGGCAGGTAATAGTAGTTAATGAACTGCACTTACGCTCCCGTCATTAGCAAACCTCACAGGGACTTCAGGGTGGAGAGAGTAAGCCTTTTATCGTGGCATGGTGGCCTAGGGGTTAACTTGAGTTTGGGCACTGGAATGTCCTGACCCATCCTAACTTCACCGGGGTCAAAGGGAGTTTTATCAATGCCCTCTGCAAGGGCAGGAGTGCCTATCTCATCAGGGAGCCCCTGAGCTCCTCTCGCAACCAAAGGAAACCATTCTTCAGGAATATCCTCCAGTCTCTTCAAACAGGTGCTTTGAGACCATTATTTAGAACAAAAATATTAAAAATCAAGTCAAGCGCCTTTTACTTTTTGGCAAGTAAAACTAAAACCTCCTTTATGTCTTTTCCACAACTAAAATTTAAGGGCTGTTGTAACCCACCTACCTTCCTGAAATTTGCTTGGTACTTGCAAAGCACGTTGGTAAAATATAAAACTCTTTTTGGTACTGCCATCGATGCCATCCAGCTTTCTTCAGCAAGCTTTCCTTAGCCATTTCTTTTGGAAATTACTAGTGGTCTGAGAGGACAGGACACAGCTAAAAAGACAGATTAGTTCTCCCATGCAAGCCATGATCAGCAATGCCTACTTTTCTTAAGAAAACAGGCAAAAAACGGAAACAAAATCAAACTCAGTCTTACAAGCTCTGGATGTGCTCTACCCAATCCTGAAAATTCCTAAGCATGCCATGTAACTGGAGCTTCTTCCATTGAAGTCATCTGCAAAGCTGAACGTTCATCCTCACAGCACTGAGCCCTCACTGAGAAATCTCACCTCAGCCTAAGTAAGACCACTGGTTTTATGTAATAAATCTCTTTCTTAGCTCCTGTCTTGATCAAAATGATCATTTAGTTACGGGTAAGAAGACACAAAGCAGTCTCAGCGGCTAATTAATACAGGCACTGTGGCAGAAGAAGAGTGTTTCAGTAGGTTGAACGAGTGCGTATGTGATATAGGAATTACAGGGTTAAATTTTAGAAATTAATTCATACCTAATATGGATGGAAAGTAATGCTTAAAATGAAATTATGTGGAGGGAAGGGCTGCTTCATTTTAATGATTTTAAAATCGTGAAGAGTGAGAAAGAACACAGTTCTGCAGGGCCAGTAGTGGAGAAATTCCCACCTCGGCGGGGACCTTCCGCTTCCTACAGGACTGCTTCTCCGAAGCCTTCAGCAAACTTACAGATGCAAATGACTGACCCGAAGTCATTCATTCAGTCCCTCACCTCTGATTTCTTCTCTTCTGTCTCACTCATTACACCAACTACTTGGGTGTCTTTAGTCAGAGAAGCTGGACCTGTCAGGACATCACACGAAGTCTTTCTGTAGGGACCTTGATCTGGATGAGGGGGTGTGTTATGGACAGCACACCATGTCATATATTAAGTACAGTAGAAAAAGGCTGGGTTTGAACTTCACGAGCATAGATTTGTGATTTTACCCACACAGCTGCTCTTGGGGGGCTTCACAGTGAACTGTAAATTGGTCACAGTGATGTAATTAAGCACTTACGTATGCACAATCCCCACTAATTAGGCTGAGGGCATTCAGTGCAGAAACGTGTGATCGGCTAAGCTTGTGCAACTCTGAGATTACCTTAGTTTTCCGTTGGTCATATTCCTGAATAGAAACTCCCATCTAAAAAATCTCACCCGGATTCATACCACTTGAGTTTTGCAGGGTCATGGAGGAGCCTTGTCCTGAGCTGACCTCGGTGCTTTGGGAGACCTCACACAGGAGAAAGCCAGAAGGGCCAAACCTTAATTAAAGCATGTTTAGCTGGTAATTCCCACAGTCCTTTTCCATAAGGGCATTCAGCACAGAAATCAGTATTTCTCTGGCTCTTTCTTTGTCAAAAAGCTGCGTTCCTAATTTGAAGACACAGCCGAGGGCTGCCGGGCCGGGCTGTTTGCGCATGGCAGTCTCTGCCTGGCACCTCGGATGGGGCTCTCCGGCAGATCCCGGTGCTCTGGGCGCGAGGGGCAAGCCCAGCCATGCGACAGCAGGTAGGGAGGGACAGGCTGGGATCAGAAAACGTTCCTCAGGGGTTTTGTGTCTACGTGCCGCTTAGGAAACTAATGCTGGCAGCCGGGAGGGGAAGGCGCCTGGGCAGTCACTCCTTCCCCTCCTTCCCACCTCCAGCAACGGCAGCGCCGACATGGGCGCCGTGTACTACGAGCGCGTCGACGTGGAAGGCCACCACTACGGCCCTTCGTCCCAGCAGCGCAAGAGCGCCGTGAGGGAGGTGGACAAAGCCTTGAGCAACATGATCGCGCAGATCAAGGTGAGTGGCATCCGAGGACCCAGCTACCCGGTGTGTCTGGGAGAGGCTTTCAAAGCTGCTCTTTGTGGCATTGCCAAAAGCCTTTTCAGTGCCTGTTAACGGGGTACGTTGGCTGTAAACTTTTATTTCCCGAGAAACAGAGGCTGTCAAGATCACGTGGAAGTCCAGGCACCATCGCCCTGATTTTTATTTTCAGCAGTGGTTAGTGGCTTATTACACCGATAGCCCCGGGAGGCCATAAACCATCTAGGTGTTGCTCGGCTTGTAACTTGTCTTGCCGGCCGGGACGTATAGTGGGCGAATGAATCGAAAGCGCTCGCTTCCTAATGTCTGTGAAATGAGACAATTAACTTTTACAGGGGTTTTTATGGCACCGCTCAGAACTCTGTACTTTAAACTGTGTTTTAAACCCCATGATTTTGTAGTGAGAAAAGGAGGATGCCAAGCTTTGGGGTAAACGTCAGTTCTGTGAATATTTCTGACAATGATAAATGCACGTTTGGGTTTTTCGTGTGTTTCGGTGAGGAGAGGAGAATGTATTTCCGATTTCATTAAATTATAAAAGCTGTAATGGCAAGTGCTTGGGAGGGGAAGAGAGAAGCACCCCTGCCGCAGGTGGTACCACCACGAAGTTGCTCTTCCCCAGCTGTCTTGGCCTACAGATGAAGAAGAGTTGGATAAAATCCTAAAACCAACTGGGACAATCAGTTTGGGGGACTGGGATGTAGCATCTGGTTGTTTAGCAGGGGGGTGGATTTAATTTGGAAAATCTGTCTTTGTCACTGACCTCTCAGACTCTTCTGGGTCAGGGTGGACACCAGCCATGACGGGTGATGGTAAAGCCCGCTGCAGGGCATCTGCAGCCATGCTCCTCCTGGGCAGCTTCCATGAAATCAGTGGAGGCCAAATGGGGGTTAAAATGTGACAGCAGACAAAGGGAAAGTCTTTCCCAGCCATAACAGCTGCCGTGCACTTGCTTCACAGAGCATGGGCCTTCAGCACGATGTCAACGTCCTCCTCTTCTCCGATCACGGGATGACAGACATCTCTTGGGCGGACAAAGTGATTGAGCTGAAAAACTATATCAATATGAGTGACACCATACAGATGAAGGACCGGGGTCCCGTTGTGAGCCTCTGGCCAGCTCCAGGGAAGCATGCAGAGGTAAGGACATCCTCATATTTATTTGGGTTCTATGGGGTTTATGACAATTGTGTCATATTTGCTTGTGACGTCCCAATCCCTCTCAGAGAGATGTGTGTAAAAATCAGCCTGAGGCTCTTGCCAGGAGTCAGACTTGGATCCTGTGACGCTCCTGTGATGATGGTTTCTGAAGGAATGTCACACCAGGCAAATTAATACGCATGATCTTTGACCCTTATCTGGCACAGATACGTGCTTTCAGACCCCACCACTGCGTGCTTCTGATAAATAGCCAGAAGATTTCAGCTCAAAATCCATTTTTAGGATTTTACACATATTTTTCAGTTTAATGACACTCTAGCTGGGATTTTCAGATGATCTGGAGGAGGTCAGGCATTCTTATTCCAGTAAACTCCCATAGAGTTTGAGGAATTAACTCCATTAGACCAGCATTAACAAAAAATAAATAAATTAAGCCCCCCAACAATATTCTTCTTTGAACAATTTCGATGAATAAGCATGTTGGATTGAATCAACCATAAAAGCCCAAGACTAGAACTGTAGGATTTTGAGGGGCAAAGTAAAACAATGCAAGAAAAAAAATTGGAAACCACTTGAAAAGAATGAAAATGCAGCATCTGTAACTAATAGACTAGTACATCACAGCTGAACCAGAAACCAGCGGTTGAGAAGTCATTATTGCTGTCCTCAGAACACAGATGAGTGGATATACAAAATGGGCGATCTGCACTCCACGTGAATTACTTCGTTGTTCGTGCAGGGGATCAGAGCATCCATAGGTGCTCCCCTCAGCTGTAACTCAGAGATTCCTGTTGTTGTAGGCCAGGTCTGCAAAGAAAGGCAAGTGTAACTTGCACCTTCACACAGACATGGGGGTTTCATCCCATGAAGCCCTTAAAAACACGCTTTGCTCTCATTAAACAGCCTGATATCCCTGAGGAGACTGAAATACAATGCCTTGCACCATGGTTTCATTTTCTCCCTTCATTTCTTTTTAGGACTTCTTGCTGGGGTGCTGCTTTTTTAAGTGAAATAAAGTTGATTTTCTGTTTCCCCATAGCCAGATTCCTCTGTTCTTAGTTCACTGTGAAGAGACATGTTCAGGAATTAGATTGTATCATAACATAGTGGTATCACATTTAAGAGTTAGCCCATTTTGAAGCACCAGAAGCACTGGTGAGACCCCAGAACCACTCTCTAGTCCAGGTCATGGTGGGAGCGTCGGGCTGAGTCTTACAGTCACACCCTGGTGCCGTCCTTCTGGTGAATCTCTTGCACGTGTATACACACACCACACATGCAGGGGGACTTTGCTAAAAGGCTGGTGAAGGACCTTTCATTCTTTGCAGAATAGAGCTCTTTATTCCTGAAGTTTATTTATATTTAAGCAAAAGGGTGATAAGAGCTCTGGGGACTCCAATAACTGCCTTCTCTATGGCATATGGACATCTTCTTTAGGTGTTTAAACATTTCTCTGAATAATTTGGGTTTTAAGCACATTTGTGTGATTATATTGTAGTCGGTACGATTAATATTAATAAACCACGTTGTGCGGCTTCAAAGCCACAGGCATTGGCTGGTTAATCTCACCGCATCCTTATGAAGCAGGTAACTATCAGTCCCTTTGACAGGGATGAACTGGTTAAGTGTAAGCAACACAGGTGAGGTGACCTTAATTGTTCCCTCGAGTGCCAAGAGGGGATTAGTGGCAGAGGCCAAAGGCAACGTCCCTTCTCTGTATCCAGTCCACGTGGTGCGTTGGAGCATCCTTCACCTCTTAGAGCGTGCTGTCTCCTGCGATGGTTTGGCCTGTCTCTGCAGGTTGATATACTCAGATGCGTACATTTGCGAGTGTGTGTGTGTTATGTATATATAACATATGCATTACTATGTGTTTATGATCAAGTTTTCAGAATCTCCCAAACCACATAAGCAGATTTTGCACAGCCATCATTTTTTAGACCGGCAAAGTCCCCGTTTGAACGTGCTGATGATGAGCCATTAAAGGGGATTAGCCTTTCATTTCACAAATTTCACAAATTCAGGTGTTTCCATGTACCCATAGGTGCAGGTATGCTCTTAACAGCCATATCGTGTCCTAACATTTGTTTTCTTTGCAGATACATCAGAAATTGAAAGCGGTGGAACACATGCAGGTTTACAACGTACAGGATATTCCAGACAGGTTTTTCTACAAAAAAGGAAAATTTGTGTCCCCTCTAACTCTCGTGGCCGATCAAGGATGGTTCATAGTAGAGGTAAAGTATAGAAGCAAAATACTTGGGCATTAAGGTGAAAAGGTGCATTATATGAAAACAGTAAGAAAAATGCACAATTCTGTGCTGGGCATTGAGTTAAAGTATGACATCATTTACCTGGGCTGACGACAACACTAACATCAAATATTGCTGTGTGCTTAAAAGAGCCTGAAGGCATGACAGCTGTGCTGAAGCCAGACAAAGTTAACTAGTTGTTTCTTTTGTCTGCATCATCATCAAGCAGAGGATTTTTTTTTAATTTCCTGGTCCTGTTGCTTTACTCCTTTTCCTTCTGCCCTGCATCTCAGACACAAGAAGTGTGTTTCCATTTCTAGATCTTACTATCCTTCCATTCAGCCATACTTCCTGGTGCCTTTTCCTTATGCCTGGCTTCCCACCCACCAGATTCTGTCCTAAAAATGCCCCTTTTCTCCCAAACCCTCCAGTCTCAAAAGGGTCAGGCTCTGAGTTTACTCCTCAGAGATTCTCAGGGCACACACTGCAATTCTGTTAAGCGGGGAATCGATTAGAGTTGCACATGAAGACATTTTTCGTGACAACTTATTTTATTACTATAAATTAGTGTTGTTGTTATTGTTATCATCATCATCATTATTATTATTTTGTACTTGTATGGCTGCTGAGCAGCTGCCCGTTACAGATGTTAACTGTGCTCCAGCACAGCTCGGAGGGTGAGGCAACTTAAATGCCTTGTAGGTAGGTAAACTGAGGAGCAGTACTAAGTGATTTGCCCAAGGCCACACAGTCAGCCAGTCGGCAAGCTGGTGACAGAACCACGGAATCCTGCGTTTTCCTCAGTGTCCCAGCACAGTCACTACCCCTCAC